GCAGGACAAAACGTCATTCTTCAGAAAAACTTAAACCTGATGAACTTCTGTTGGACGCTTTTCATGGCTAAAGCAGTCATGACCTCCCAGTAACATTTTCCTTCAAGTGTCAGTCCCAAAACTCCCCAGGCCTGCTCAGCATGGCACGTCCTAAAACAGTGAATCACTGCTCGGTGCCATTTGCAACCCTGCAAGCAGGGTCTGACACCAAAAAGCTTTCTGTTAGAGACAAGGTTTGGTTCATGCCTGACCACCAGCAATGTCTACCTGTGCCCCTGGGAATGGTAACACTGAGCTCAGAGTTGAAAATACCTTTGGAAGAAGCTGCAGGATGTTTGTGTGATGGGTGCTCTTTATAAATGGCACTGCCATTAAGTCTGTCTTAATCCTAATGTCACCCGCTGCAGGTACCACAATCTCAGGCTCCAGCAAACCCAAATACTTCCATTAAGGCCTCCCTATGCAAGAGAGATTAATACACACTGCAAAACCAAACCGACTTCCATGTCTGAAAAGAAACAGAAAGCAGCACAAACCACTGCAAGGATGTGTTTACAGGGCAGGCTGAAAATCAACAACCTGAAAGTGCTGATAAAAGCAGCAGCAGGTAAAATGCTTTCCCTGTCTGGACCCTACAGCTCTCTTGGTCAGCAGAGATGTCTGAGGACGAGATGCTAAGACCACACACTTCCAACAACCGGGTTCTCTTACTTGTAACAGGAAAAGACCCTCCAACACTTCCATCTATTTAAAACCAACTAATTTAAGCTCCTCACAGGCCAACAAGTGAGAGTTTCCCCATAACCACCAGCGCTCTGTCTTAACCATGGGCTGCCTTCTGGCCACCGAGCCACCAGCGGAGACATCCAGCAGGAAACCTTGCATGGAGAAGCTGGGAGTGCCACCGTGAACCGGCTCCAGAGGAAATGAGGAAACAAGGCCAGGACACCCCGAAGACCTCAAGAGCTGGAGGTCCAGGAGGGCTCCCTGCAGCTGGTGCCTGGACCTGGCCTCAACTCGAGCGGGCGGCACAGGCACCGGTTCAGTGCTTGTGGCACCTGGAAGCCTCATTGCAAACCCCCGGGTCTGGGCAGGCAGTTTGCAAACGAACCATCGCTACTGGCAGGTTGAAGCAATGCAAGACGGCAATTTAAACGTGAAGAAAAAGGAACAACTTTCCTACAGGCTCTGAGCTTGAGGCACCAAACTGAGGAGGAATGAGGCGTTTCTGAAGCAGGCAGGAAAAGGCAATGCTGCAGATCGGCGTGGGTCTCTGCCTACCCCAGCAAGCACAGGAGCCCCAGCTTTGCTCCAGGTTAGCTCCGCTGCTGCTCTTTGCCAAAAACATGTAGAGAAATCCCGAGAACGTAGTCACTTAGTTAAGTATCCATATTGCCTATATACTTGAATTAAAAATACATGGTGAATAAATGTGTGTATACAGCACTTAATACATATATATACACAAAGAGTGTGTGCCTGAATATACACACATGTACTCACACAGTATATATTAACCTATATTGCTCAAGTATATACGCTATGTACAGTATATAGCCATAGGAACAGAAAACACAAGTATTTATATATGTGTACAATAGAGACATACTAAGTATTTCTGTGTAAACACTATACAATTTTATGAACATATGAACACACTTGCACAGTAGAAAGGCATTTGCAGCCAAAATCTAATTGGAGTGGGGGAAAAAAGACAAAAACCTACATAGTAACACACACAACATGAGAAAGGTTTAAATTTCTAAGAAAACAAAGGCCTCGGAGAAACAAGGAGGGTGCGGGAGGGCTACATCCTCCTCCCCTGCCCACCCCTCCTTGCGGGGCTGGAAACGCTTTTTGCCTTTCGCTGTTTGGTGAATTTTTGTGTAACGAGAGGAGGCGAGGGGCTGGGGGGGACCCTCAGCGTGCGGGTGATCCCCCATCAGCCGCGGCCAGATGCAACGCCCGGAGCTGAGCTGGGCACTGAGGCAGCAAGGAGCCGGGGGGACCCAGGCTCCCAGTGATGCAGAGGCCCGGCCGAAGACGTCCCACTAGGACAGATTCCTCCTTTTATCCACATAGCATCCAACAGTACAACGCCAGGGATGCTCAGAGACATTATTATCATAAGGCATTAAAAAAAAGACTCCTCAATTTTTCCCTGCCCCAAAGGCCAGGTGCCAGGAGAGCGGGAGCTGTCGAGCAGCTTTAAGAGCCACTGCTTCGAGCTTACACTGTAGTGTTATATTATGATTATTACTACTTTATTACTACTACAAAGCCTCTACAGACCCTGTCCTGCCCTATCCTGTGAAGGTCTCACATGCAGCACCAGTGCAAGAGCTTGCGCTGATCCTGATCACACACCCGACCGACTGCCCTTCTACTCTGGTTCAGAGTTCAGAAATTCTGGCTAAACTTGGAGGAACTCAGTTCCCACCAGTGAAGTGATGTGGGGAACACTAAAGGGAAAGCATCCAATCACCCTAAGTTGTCTGAAACCATCTTCTGGGTTCTCAGGACAAAACAAGAGGAAATGAAAAGGGGAAGCCAAGGACGATGGCAGAGACAGAGTCTTGACACTTGGTGAGTTTTTCAGGCCAACTTTCTCGTGCCAGGACATCAACCTACTTGTGAAGTTTTCAAACACCCCAAAGACATCTACAGATTTCACAAATTTAGGGCTGACTCCCTTAAGAAAAGAAGTGGAAAATTTAAATGAAAAAAAATCAGCCCGAGTGCAAAGCTAAAAAACAACAAAACAAAACAATCTTTTTCACTTTCTCTTAAGGCTCAGGAAAGCTGTTGCTTGTCTCAAGTGCTGCACATGCTGCAGTCCTCAGAAAGCAGCACTAGCACATGCAGAGGGCAACACAGAAAGTGGCTAAATCATCATTTTCCAACGGTTGACAAGACCCAGGAGCACAAAGACGACCCTGTCCTGGTGACACAACCACGCACACAGGGAAAGCTCAGGCTCGGCCGACCGGAAAGCCTGGCTGGCAACTCAGCAGCTGCACCCCAACTAATGTGCTTGTACCCCTCTCTGAAAAAATCCCGCACAGTCCACCTCAATCTGCCACCCCAAGGAAAAACCCTTCAACTATTTACGTGGCAAAAAGCTACCAACCACTCCGCCACCTCCTTCAGCTCTGCTCGCTGCCAGTCACGCTGTGCAGGGTCACTTAAAACGTGTCCAAGTGCTTTCCAATATTGCACTGCAGAGCCTGGGCTCACAGCCCTACAGCACGCGGCAGGAGCCCAGAGCATCTTTCCAAGCAAACACCCTGCAACGCATGGTGCTGCACCTGGAACAAACCTTTACCCCAGAAATCTGGAGTGAATGTAATGTATCATGGGGCAATTCTGAAAACCCATGGAAAACAACAGCAAAACTTCAGTGAAGCATTAAACATGTGCCTCAGTGCTTCTCAGTAGGGATGCTTTAACTCAGGTCCCACAACAGAAAGTTAACCATGCTTTTTCCTGTGGATGCTCTGATCCCTGTCAAGCTCCCACACAATATCCCACTGATTAAAAATCAGAAAGATTTGAAACTCAATAGGTCCAACACCACCAGAAACCACAGCCCTCCAGTACCGGGAATGGAGAACTAAACAGCGAGCAGTTAGCCAGCGCGTGTGTGTATGCATGTCCTACACACCAGTATAAACTGTGCCTGTGGCATGATCTCAGATGCCTGCTTACTGCCTCCAGATGAATGCAAAACCCTGGCTCAAACCTGCCAGGCACAGCCTCAGCAAAGCCATGCTGGAGGCTGGCTCTTAAGCCCAGCTGGAAAGGCTTCATTAAAACCATGAGTCCTGCAATTTCTTCACAGCAAAAACAAAATGGAAAGAAGTCTGGAAATTCAAGACATCGTTGGACTCCTAACCGTAAAAGCAAAGTCCTCTGCAGACAGCTTCTCCCTTCCACCAGCCCTCACGACACGGTCACAGCATGGCATAGACTGCGGGTACCCAGGGGACACTTGATGTCCCAGCGCAAGTCACTGCTGACTGCCACGTGCTGGGAGCGGCCGTGGGCATGAGGAGCCTTGGTGCCTGCAGCTTTGGCTCCGCCAGGAGCAAACACTCCTGTTGCCTCATGGAAAAAGCCGACATCATCTTCCCGTGACAGGACCAGAAGGACACGCCTAGGGTTTAATGCGTTCTCAGCACTGTTCTGCTTCTGAAGGGGTGCCCACTGAACGGAACGGAAAAGCCCTGGGAGTCAAGTCCCCAGCTGGCAGTGATTTCCACCCTGAGCACCCTCCTGGCCCTGGTGGGGACAACCTGCTGTGCTTCTTGGCCAAGGTGGCTTGGGATGCGCAGGAGCCAGTACTCAGGGACCTTGGCCAATGCTTCATGTCCCCGTGTGTACAAAATGGATGTGAAAAAGCCCATGGGGACAGGAGAAGAGATGCTGGGGGACAGCTCTGATGGGATGAGGAGACAGCAGCTGCCCTGAAGCAGGAGACACGGCAGAAGGATACTGGGGAAAACTGAGCTGAACCAGGCAAGTTTCAATGCATACAGCAGTCTGGGTGGCACCACCTGCCAGGGGTGGGCCAGAGCAATGCTTCCCCTGCCCAGATTTTCTCAGAGCAGCCAGGCTTTTACTGTTGGGAGAAAGGGAAAAGGGGAAATCCAAATAATTTGGCTCTTTTCCCTTTTTCCAACACCACACAGTTTTGCCAGGGGAAACAGAACCCAATTCCCATCCTATCTCAACGTACACAATGACGGACAGTCCTCAGGAAGTCTGACGCGAGGAGACAAGCCAGCACTACTTGACGTCTTTTCCGTTTAATTCCACATTTCATTTTGTTTACGGTTTCAGGGCTTGATCTGAGCAAGCACCCCGTCCATCCCAGCCGTGTCGGGAAGCTCTTGGCAAAGCGCTTGTGCACGCGGCCATACGTGCCACCGTGCTTCGGGGAGACACGGGCATCCCCAGGCAGCTCCTTCCACACTGAGAACAGGGGCAGGTTACGCTTCCCCTTGGAGCTGAACATCAGGAAACTGTCTGAACTCCCTTTCCTCCTGCCCCTCATTCATAAATTTAATAAAATAACAATAATGATAATAATAAAAACAAAGGCTTATTGGAGCTGTTTCTGCTCAACTTTCCACAGTCTCTTTTCATGTCACTCTCTGGAATCAGATTTTTCAAGAAATACTGTGAGAAAAAAAGAATAATAATAATAATTATAATAATTATAATAATAATAATAATTATAATAATAAAAAGCATCTGGAACCAGCTCAGAAGATCTCTAATGCTTTTCAGCTTGACTGACTTGGAGTGCATTGACCACACCATTTATATTTTCTTCAGGTACCTGCAAGAAAACAAAAAGAAAGGTCACGCTCTAGCAAAAGCCAGGGAAGGACGATGAGGAAAGGAGAAGCAGAAGACGAAGCCAGAACAGTCCCCAGGTGCCAAGTACTTTGCTGATGGACACCTGAACTCCACTGAGAAAGGACTCCACCTACGAGAGGAATCCTCTAGTTCCTGTGGTAACCCTTGGAGCAAATGCGGCGAGTGGGGCCTGCCTGTTTTGTGGGTGCTCGTGGGGAGGCAACTGCTCTGCAGTTTTCCTTCCCTTCTCTTCCTCTCCCCTCCTTTCCCTTTCTTTCATTGATAAAGCACCTGGCTGGGGTGAGAAACGCTGACTGCATGGATGGTCGTGTGCCACCTCCCCTCTTGGCCCTGCTCCCTGGCCCTGGCAGACGGAGGAGCAGCTGGTCCCACCTGGGACCACAGTTGGGCAACAGAAAACTTGAGAACCCTTTCAGTGCCATCACTGCTCCAGTGCTGGGTCTGGCTCAAGAGAGACACTGCCTGTCCAAAAAACACCTTACTTCTTGCAACTCCCCACACACCTTTCGCAGAGAGGAGGGAAGGGGCTGCCCAGGTAAAGGTCCAAGACTCATTTCACCACATATATTCCAGAGATTTGATTTATGCCTCAAAGCATTTGTACCCCAGGAGCTCACTCATGCAAGGTGCCTGCGCTGATGGATTTATGTGGCTGTCTAAGGGCTCCATGAAGCTTTCCAGCGCATCCTACAGGTTTGGGACCCATAAGTGTGGGTGGAGAGACCCATGTTGGTGACAGGGGGAACGTGTCCATCAAAGGAAGAAGAGAAGTCTGCTTGTGGTGGAGTGTCCCAGATGGTGTGGTGTAGTATCTGAACTTTGTCCATCCTGTGATGGGACTTAACCGTAGAAGTCCCTATACAAAATTATTAGTGGGTGTCTTTTCACACTTACTGCAAGAAAAAAACCTTGTGACAGAAGATGCAGAAGATCTCAGAGTGACTGTCATCAACAGAAAAGAGTATCACAAGTTACACCAGAGAGAAAAGAGGCATCTGACGATGACATAAACTCAAGACAACACTCAGGGGACAGGCAGCTAACAGCTCTTGGAAAGTGGAAAGGGGACTGAGGGAAAAAGAAATTATCTGTGAGCTGCTGCAAGAAGCCAAAATTATTCACGTTAAGTAAACTGAAGAGGGGACTGCCTCCTCTGCGAGATACGAGCCTTTGGCCAGGAGCACAATACCTGGATTCACTGGACACCCTCTAGAGCTCAGAGAGTGGAAATACAACTGGACTGTGATTTTCTGCAAGGCTCTTTACAAAACTGAGGCAAAACCCCCATGAGATGTAATAAGAAAAATGTTCAATTTTCCAATGGGAATGATGGAATAGGAGCAGCTAACTCTGATGAAGTGTGAACAAAAGTCAGCTGGGAAAGGAAGAAAATAATCTTAAAACATCCATACAGCAAATTCCTCTGGGTTAGGAAGAAAACCCCAACAAACCTCTACCACAGAGAACAGGACTTTGAGACACGACTCTTCACTGCCTCCCCTCCATCATTTTCCCTGGTATGTTGAATACTGCAGTGGGAGAAGCTGTATGACTCTGTTTCTCCAGAAGATAATGAGAAAAGACATAGGAATCAATTTTGCAAAACCCATTTTCTTAGCCAGCCCCAGCAGATGATCAGTGAGTCTCTCCAGACGCTCCTTCAGACCGGCCAGTTCTGGCTCCCCAGCTTTGACCTGCACAGACCCACCTCCTCACTTACACAGAATGGGCTGAACCTTCATTCACTGCAAAACGCTGAACTGTCTTAACATCAAGGGAATTGTATCAATCATACCGCAAACGTTTGGGCTGGATTTTCTCCAAGACAGATGTGTGAACAGTTTTGATTTGTAGGATACATCCCAGCATGCCCCAGTGGAGAAGTCCTACCCCTTTCTGCCCCATAGAAAAGATCCTTAGCCCAGGGAAAATGGTGCAAAATGTTCACATGAGGGCAGATCAAAGCATCTACCATGAAGGGAAAAGTAAAGCTCTAAACTACATCCCAGATACTGCTTTGGCCTTATGACATACAAAATGCTGGTGAGGAAGAGCAAGACGCCTCCAAGCAGGAGGCACCGAGAGCAGCACCTGGGAAAGGGAAAAGGGACACTTCTCACGTGTCCTCTCTAGAGGGAGCTGGAAACCGTAGCTCTCTCCAACCCGACCTCATGTCACCCAGGGGACACATCAGACACCTGGAGGTTCCCATCTCTGCACTGTCGCACAGAAGGATTTCTTCTCAAGAGCAGGTCTTGATTTCCAGAGCAAGATTCTACAGTGAAGACCTGAGTATTAACAGCCAGGTGAAATAAAAAGTTAAGCAACAAAAAACACCTTAAGATTCACAAGAGAAAAAACCGGTCAAAGGGAACAACGAGCTCTTATAAGGCACTTTTAATTGTTGACAAGTACTGAACAACCTTAAAGAAAGAAATGGAGGACATAGGGAAAGGATTCAAGGTGCACACAGACCTTGAGAAATGTCACTAGAAGTCAAAGTGTCTAGGTAGCAAAGTTAGGGAAAACATGACAAAATCGATGTGAGGGTCTTGATTAACAAAACTAATCCAGAGCCAGCAAGCCCAGCCACCATGCCCAGAGCAAAGTCAAGCCGAGGAGTGCTTGAAATGCACCAACATTCAACACATTCTGGTGGAAGGGCTTGACGGCTAGGATAGCACCATCCAGATGGTGCGAGAGAAGAAAACAGCAAGTAGCAAGGGAAATACTAAAGCTGATTTTCCTAAGGAAGATCCTTAGTGCATGGTCCAAGCAATACCCTGTCAACTGCTCGAGGCAGGGATCTGCCAGGCTCAGATGCAGCGGGGTGAGATGCTTTTAAAAGGCGGAGCTGCCTGCAGAGTCATCACAATCATACGGCACAAGTTTGAAGTGAAATATCTCTATCAACTGACAGGGCCGAGCTCTCCAGATACTGCTTGACAACCAGAAGCCCTCTGCACCTGTGCTCTGCACAGAAAGCCCGCACCTGGGGCCACAACAACGGGTAGGAATGTGAGGCAAAGCTAACAGTATTGATTTTAAAATGGTGTTTTATTAGCTTATCTTATCAGTACAGTTAATATTCAAGAAAGTAAGACAAACATATATAACACTTTGACCTTTACTATCTGGAATAATATTTACTTCTTCTCTTTACACACATGACCCATAGGCTGCAAATGGTTCACATCAACTGTGAAAACTCAAAGTAATTAGCTGAAAATAAAAGCCCTCCTTGAATTCACTGGAGCTTTTATAGGTCAAAAGCAGGGCCTGAGCAGGGAATTTACAGTGATGAAAGGAGAACTATGGTTCAATAAAGGGCACATTTAAGAAAAAAACCCGAAAAGCACAAAGCAGCTGAGTTTTCTTAGCTCTGCTAGCACACGGGCTACCAACTCCTGCCCTCAGGACTTGGGGAATGAGCTCAAGTCAAATCCCATCCTGTTTGTGGCTACAGGCATAGCAAATTTCCATTTTCAGGGCAACTACTCATTTTTAAGTATTACCTATACAGGCAAAGAAGAGGTAGATCTAGAAGGTAAAACATCCACCAGTATAAAAGAGAAGAGACCCCTGCACAAATGGCAAGACCCTCACAATGCTGACTGTGCGGTACCTGCATATGGGCACTCACAAGATCAAACACAGCAACACCTTCTCCTTCCCTTGCTGCGCTGCCAATTATTGCTATTTTAGCAAAGGTCAACACCATGAGGAGGATGATGCAGGGACAGCAGAGTCAATTTGGACTCACAGATGGTCTCAAAACACAAAGGTTTGGCCATGCAGGTACCAAGAGACGAAGGCAGAGGTCTGCTATTGGGAGATTCTCCAAAAACCTCCCCCCACACAAAGGCACCCTCCTGAGAGTCTGGGGCCTCTGACTATACTTGCAGGAAAATGGAGAGGGTTTGTGGCTGTTTCTAATAAACGCAGTGACACAGCGGAAGAGACTGATCGGGGAGATGGTGAAGTCTTCACTGCTGCAAGTCTTTGAGGACTGAGAGGAGCCCTTTGCAAGAGTGACACTTGCTAAGACAGCTTTGCCTTGGGGTAGGGCTGGGCTTGGTTCAGGAGCCTCTGACCCAGGGCAGTGACAGCCAGGAGGCTGTAGAGAACTATCAGCTGGGCTACATCAGAGCAATGACCTCTGTAGATGGGAAATACTGTTCTCATTATGAGTTTTCTCCCAGGGAAAAGATCTCCCCTATTCCAAAGAAGCTGTCTTGGTACTCACCAACGCGTGATCAAACTTAAATGTACTGATGTAGTAGGCTGGGATGTCGGCTGCGGCCAAAGGCTCAGAAATCTGAGCAACAATTCCACATTCATCTGTGGAGGAGATAAAAAAATCAATCATTGTCTGAACACCACCTGTGATTCCTGCAGAACTCCTGGATCTCACCAGCTCCACATCTATACAGGGAGCAGTGTGTGAAGAACCCTGGCAGAGATCTTCAACCAGAAGAGATCATTGTAGCAAAATGTGGTCTTTCTCATAGAATCAGGCTCTTTGGCCACGACAATACTTTGCACATCTGATTTTATTGCCTTTATTTTGTCGCAAAGAAATGTAATTCCCCCAGAAGCACAAAACATTAGAACTGGAATGATCTTCAGAGGTCCAAAGAAAGTCGATTAATGACGGTCAGGAAGGAAGCAACAAAACCAGTCTCATATACCCTTAACTTCCATTTTTCTCTTTAGTAGTTGCTACTGAACACTTTTCTTTGCATCTCTGGGAGAGGAGATGCTGACCTGCTGGTCAGCCTGGACACGGTTTCTGGACCACAACCCCTGAGACAAGATTTCAGGCCAATTCAAAGGATTCATCTGTCCTGTTTGTCACAGATCAATGGTACATTTCTTCTAGGTGAAATCTGAGTTTCACTGAACCAAAGCGAACATTTCAACTTGACTGCAAGCTAACATATTTGCACATCACATATTTAGGGAACTGGTAGATATCCTGATGGCCCATCAATGACAAATACCATGCTATTTCTATATATTTTGCCTCTAAGATACATAAAGAGAAGGTGCATGAACATTTCCACCTTGCTACTTTTGGTCGTCTAGTGTAGAAGTTGCAATGAAATGTAAAAAAATGCCCAAACATTTTCCAGAAACGTTCTTGAAGCCTGGATTTGGTAACTGTATCAGAGACCACGGGAAGGAGCCCCAGTGCTTTCTGAATATCAGGCCTTTGTCACAGTATTCAGATCAGACTCCTAAAAATAACAAGATCACTTCTGCAGATGTGAAACATTTGCTCTGTGCTACTTAGGTACAATATTCTTGTGAGTAGAGAAAACATTAGCAGCACTGGATGGGAACCAGGTCTATGAACAGAACTCCCTCTGAAACTGCTATAAATCTACACTAAATCTACTAAAGCCAGGGAGATGCCCAGGGACTGCACTGCAGTACCACAGTGCCTTCTGACCACTGATTTCAGTAATCTACAACGCATTCCCATGCCATCTTTTTGCCCATGTTTTCTCTTTAAACAGAGACCCAGCTGTAGCTACCTCTAAAGTCCAGCAGATTAATGCAAAGTAGATGGAGCTGTCAAGCTTGTAGCACTTTCCAAAGTATATTTAGAAGTCTGACTTATTAGGTAGGAGTCAGACTCCTGCTCTTGGAAAATCTCAGCTTGCAAAGTCATGTTAAGCTGCTAGCTCTTAAAAAGCCTCAGCCTCAGATGGATTTTTCCATCGTCCTTGAAGGCCCTGAGGTGACTGACTACCTGTGCACCAACTGATCCCCCAAATGTTTACCTACCGAAGCCAAGAGGCTGCCCACCAATCCGCACCATCTTCCAGAGTTCGCCAGATGCACTTGTAAACAACAAATTATTAGGAAATCTGTAAAAGAAAAGGAGCACCAAATGTGGCAATTAAAATCCAGCAGTGTGTCAGATTCTGCCTGCAGGGATGCTGCTGCTCCTGTATCCCTGCGCTGCTTGAAGCCAACAATTGCAACAGCAGCAGCTCGGTGAAACTGAGAAAACTGAAGACAGATGCACCTGCCTGCCCCTCCAGATGTCCCACGGTAAACCAGCATCTGATGCCAGAAGGGTGCACAGGCACCCAGAGAGGCACAGAAAAAAAACTCTGAGAAACAGGCCCGTGTCCCAGCTTTATAAACGTCAAGACTTGTTAATCTGAAGGCTTGATTTGGGCTGCACTTAGGGACACCTAGGGACAGAATATGTTTCCATACCTATTCTTAGCACGTGAACAATGACCACTGTTTTTGTATCTAAGCCTCATCAGTGCTTTTTTCCATATCAGCCCTGGGAGGTCCCTGAGATCCCTGCAGAGATCCCCATTCCTTAGCAGTGGAAAGAAGAGCAGTGGCCAAGAGCCTTGCCCAAGGTCAAGCAGGCATCTGTGACAGAGAAGGAACTGGCCACTCATGTTCCCCAAGCACTGGGCTGCCACTTCAACCCTCTAGCACCTCTCGACAGAGGTTTACTCCAAGGTAGAAGAAACTTTCAAGAGGGCAATTAACAGTTTGCAAAACAAGTTCCTATGGCAGGCAAGAATCGAACCCAAACAGTGCACCGTGTGTCAAGAGCAAATCCATGCATCATATCTCGGCCAGCCTCCTGCCGAGCCCCCAGACCTCAGCGACTCCAGTGATGTGATGCTGCAGTAGCACAAACAGGCTGATGGCTGCTTCCTCGCTGACTTCCTCCTGGCCAAACAAGTCATGGGCTCCTGCTGCACAGGGATGACTCAGTTTGTCATCATCACTACGAGACTGCACCAATCCCAGCCATGTAGAAAAGAAAGGTGGGAGGCCCTCGCCCTACTTTCGGCTTTACCAGTAAGACTTCAACCATGTACACCACTATTTATTATTTTTTTGCTCTTAAAAGCATGACTAATGAACAATGGAATAAAAATGTCAAAATAATTTTGCTCCAGTGTACCTCTTTCAAAAATGAGACAACCCTACATTACACTGGCTTCTGATTTCACTGAGGGATTGGACAGACAAGCCCAAAATTCGGGAGCTGGAACTAACATGCCAGACTTCACTCAGCAAAGTGACAGGGTGTATAGGCACAGGACACCCACGCAATGAGGCTCCCAGTAATTAACATGTAGGGGCATCAGCTGCTTCCTGCTCCTTTGAAAACGTCTTGGGTGCTTTTTGGAGACCCTAAGACCAAAGCTCACCTCTGCTGTGTCTGGACATCCATGACCAAGGAGATGTAACCCTCAATGAGAGAAAAGGAGAAAAAGCGAATATGTCCCGAGTCTTCATTGCCCACCACTGAGTCTTTTACTCTGAAGAAACAGAAGAGAACAACATTAACTCCAGCTGGAAGAGCAAAGGAAGGCTTTTAAAGCAGATACAGACACTGAAACCAGAAATGTTCATACACCGACTTAGGGAAGTGACACTGAGTCCTGTCACATTACACTGCTTTTCATTTTTTTGACTTTGCAGGGGAAAAAATGCCAGTCCCCACAATTGACAAAACTCTCCTCTCTCTGCCCAATGTCCTCCTGCAGGAGGTTGTGGGCCAGGAGCCACAGGCATCAGTGGGCATCAGCACAGCCAGCTGTACATCCTCCAGTCGTACGGGGATATGAAGCACATGGATCACATCGCTACTCTTAGCTTAAACCTGAAAAGGCTCAGCTTTCTAAAGCTAATGGATGTCTTTGGGCACCCTCAATCTCCTATTCGGCTTCCACCTGCCAGGACAACCCTCTTGAGCCTGTGAAACCTCCCTTCCTAAGCACAAAGCACCACAGCAGCATAAGGCCTCAGCAGACCCCTGGGCATCTTGGAGGAGCAACGTGAATCTGTGCCTTCTGACACAGACCACACCTCCCCCGGGAGCCTGTCTCCCTGCCAGGACCTACCCATTGGAGTAAAACATGACATCCATTAGGAGTGTAGCAACAGCGGGAAGGGTATCTGGATCCAGGCTGGTGACGCAGAACATATTACTTGGACTGGAAAGGGGATGAATGACAGGCCTCTGAACTGAAAGAGACACACACAGACACACACAGCTATGAAGCCACGTCCCACCAGATGTGTTATCCACGCACCGGCTGCAGAGAAAACTGACAGTGTTTGTAGGAAAGTTCCTCACTGCTGAAGCCCTGCTGGTTCTCAGACAGGGACCGAGGAGCCTGGGGACAACCTGCGTTTGCGATGTCCTCCCCAGGGCATAGGATGACATCATCCCGAGAACCCTGCCCTGCATGGAGGGGCTGGGGGCTTTCAGGCCATGAGGTGCATCCACAGGAGACAAAGGGCCAGCTAAAGGAGGTGCCAACTTCCTTTCTATTTATTGTAGAAATAAGTTCAGGCTTCCACCATTTATAAGGTAGGGCTATGGAAGGCACTTCTCTGGCTGTGGTTGCTGGCAGTACACCCTCTTTTCCGGGTGTCTATTTTGCTATAATATCTACAAAAATTAAAATCCAGCTGACATAGAGCAGCTTTGGCAAACACGTTTGCAGCCAGCAGCTAAGAAACAACCAGTATTTAGGCATGCAACTATTAAATACAGCAACAACACAGCAAATTGCATACCTGTGTACAATCAATGTGCATTTCAGTGTGCCCTTCCTTCACGCGTTCTGTATAAGGCTCATTTTCTTAAACAAGATGATTTATAGCTATTGAGTGACAAGGCTGAGTGGCACTTCATAGTAACTGATCCCTGCTTTGTTTGGTTATAGGTACAAAATCACACATAGGTGTGTAGGTAAACACATGTATTTAAGTAGCTCCTTTTCCTGATCGTGCCCTTTGCTTCATGCGTGTGCCTCTAGACTGGAAACATCCTAAGGTTCTGTATAGCCCTGAGCTGACACTGGCCTTGATCCTGACTGGTGCTGAAGTGTGAAAGGTGAACAACAAAATTCTCTGTGCATCAATCACTGCAATAATTAAACAAGCTTTTATAGAAGCCATTTTCCTTTGAAATGTTGAAACGTGGAAGTATGGGCTACAGACAATGTTATTTTTGCAACTGAAATGAATTGTGTATTAACCATCTGTTCCATAAAAGGTATGTCTCCCCTAGAGATGTGAAACTACCATTAAAAAGCTCAAATTCAGCAAAGCTCATCAGCATTGCTCAGAAAGTTAAGGACCTACTCAAATCCTTGGCTAAACTATGTTAGATTCAGGCACACGTCAAGATCGCTTATTACCTTACAGCAAGATAAACGTTCACCAAAATGCTGAAGGGAGGCAGGAGGCAGACTTTCAACTCTATGGAGTCCATGGAGGTCCACCTGGGGCAGGGTGAGGAGCTTACAGAGTGCTTATGGGTCAGGGTTAGAGGGAAGGCAGGGGAAGGAGACATCATAGTGGGGGTGTGCTACAGGCCACCTGATCAGGAAGACCGAGTGGATGAGGCCCTCGACAAACAAATAGCATCAGTGCCATGTTCACAACCCCTCGTCCTCATGGGGGACTTCAATCACCCTGA